GGCAAAGGTTGCCAACCCTGGTATATAGGATTGTTTCAAATGCTAATTCTCTTGAGTTGAATATCAGCTAACTGGTTATTGAAAAAAGGAGGCTAAGTTAACAAAAGCATTTAATGAAAGAATGACACATTAACCTATATGTCATTCCTAGTATCTGGAGCTCAAAACAATTATTATGTGAGTAATCAAACATTAATTTTATTCTTTATCTCTTTCAGAATGCTTTTACATCTACTGCAACATAAGTTTTGAACTGGCTGTATCTCTAGAGGAAGGGTATGGTTATGCCACTGTTACCAGGGGATCTCCCAAAAAGGGGGTGGTAAGAAGAAAGAAACTAATTGTGTGTGTGTGTGTATATATATATATATATGTATATATATATATATATACACACACACACACATATTATGTGTATATATATTGTATGTATATACATATATATATATGTATATATATATATATGTATAAAACAGAACAGCACTGCAAATTAATGACTGTTTTAAAATCTGCGCTGACACCTCAGAGCCTGGAGCCTGCTTTGGATTCTGTCTCTTCCTCTCTTTCTGCCCCTCCCCTGCTTTCTCTCTTTCAAAAATGAATAAATGTTGGGGCACCCGGGTGGCTTAGTCGGTTAAGCGTCCGACTTTCGCTCAGGTCATGATCTCGCGGTTCGTGGGTTCGAGCCCCGGGTCAGGCTCTGTGCTGACTGCCAGCTCAGAGCCTGTAGCCTATTTCAGTCTGTGACTCCCTCTTTCTCTGACCCTCCCCTGCTCACGCTGTCTCTCTCTCTCTCTCTCCTAGAAATAAATAAAAAACATTAAAAAAAATTTTTTTTAATAAAAAATGAATAAATGTTAAAAAAAAATTTTTTAAATAAAAACTGTCCAAGGTGTAGAATATAACAAGATGCTTTCCATAACAAGTAAATTTACATCACTTGATTACACTTATTTTCCATCTTAGTATCACAAAAGTGGCATCACACTGAAAGAAATATAAACATTTTATTCAAAGCAATCTCTACCTTAGCAGAAAATAAAATTCGTTTGGCTTTCCAAATGCCTCACACATGGATTTACCTAAAATAGTCAACCTTATTATCACTACTTCTCATTTCTCCAAAATACAAACTGTTACAGTCAAACCAATCTCCTATCTTGGATCAGTCCTTAGTCATTTTCAACTCCATCCTTTCCTCAATTTTCTGTGCCTATCAAAATGACTCATAAGTTAAAACCTATTTGCAGTCACACCTCCTTCAAGAAAACTTCTAGCCCTCACTAATTTCCTTTCTATCAGAACTCAGACCACATTATACATTATACAAATCCACATTATACAAATGTATATTCATTTATCTGTTGCTTGTGTTATTTCACACACATTCATCTGGATTCCTTACCTAAACTATAAGCACTTTGAAGGCAAACAATTCCTTTTTTTTTTTCATATTACTAAAATGCTGAGCACAGCACTGATTATTCTCAATACACTCATGTTATCTGTGTAACCTAAGTATATAAAAATGTGCTACATTAAAGGAAGTCCATCATCCTCAGCAAGTAGGTATAACCCTTGACTATCCAGGCAGCTGCCCATACTTGTACATAGTAGACCTCAACAAGTGTTTGTAGGCTGAACGAAGGACTAAATGTATACATGAGCAATGAATAAATAATGGACATCCTTCATAAGGTGGAAGAAAAAGGCAAATTGTAGATGGATGTGATCAACTTGAAGCTACAGCTCTTAAATTCATATGGGCAAAATATTCATCAGAACATTTTCTGCTTCAATCCAATTCAAACTAATTTATATACACAATTTTGGCTCATGGGACTGGGAAGGACACCAGGGTAGCTGAAGAATCAAAAGAACACCAGATACCTCATACCATGGTCTCTGGGACTGAAAGTGGCATGCTACCTCCCATCTCCTATTTATTTATGGCTTTGCTTTCTGCTACTATAGATAAGGTTCTCAGACACGTGGGAAAGAATGTACTAACACTCTACCAGATCAAAAACTTGAGGAAAGAAGGAGCATCGGGGTGCCTGGATGGCACAGTCAGTTAAGCATCTGACTTCAGCTCAGGTCATGATCTCACAGTTTGTGAGTTCGAGCCCTGCGTTGAGCTCTGTGCTGACAGCTCAGAGCCTGGAGCCTGCTTCAGATTCTGTATCTCCCATTCTCTCTGACGTGCTCCCACTCATGCTCTCTCTCCCTCAAAAAGAAAAAATTATATATATTGAAAAAAGAAAAAAGGGAGCATCTTTCTCTTGGAATTCATACACCAATGTCAAAGGATTCTAATTGGCTCTGCTTGATTAATGGACAATCACTGTTGCAATAGGGATGACTAGGCTTGGGTTATAAGACTATACAACTTATAGACAGCATACCAACCACACATAATAGGTGAGAGATGATTCCTCAAATGAGGAGATATTCACTTGACAAAATTAGCACACAGCTGACCCTTGAACAGCACAGCTTGGAACTGCACAGGTCCACTTATACACAGATTTTTTTCGATACAGTACAGTACTACAAATGTATTTTTCTCTTCCTTATGATGTTCTTAATAACACTTTCTGTTCACTAGCTTACTTTATTCTCATTTAAGAACACAGGCTCTAATACATATAACACACCAAGTATGTGTTAACCAACTGTTCATGCTATCAGTAAGGCTTCCAATCAACAGAAGGCTTATAGTAGTTAAGTGTTAGGGGAGTCAAAAGAATACACACAGATTTGGGATGCCTGGGTGGCTCAGTCGGTTGGGCGTCCGACTTCGGCTCAGGTCATAATCTCACGGTTCGTGGGTTTGAGTCCTACATCAGGCTCTGTGCTGACAGCTAGCTCAGAGCCTGGAGCCTGTTTCAGATTCTGTATCTCTCTCTCTGACCCTCCCCTGTTCATGCTCTCTCTCTCAGAAATAAATAAAACATTAAAAAAAAAATTTAAAGAATACACACAGATTTCCAATTGCATGGGGGGGGGGGTAGTTTCCCCACCCCCACTTTGTTCAAGGTCAACAAAAACATATAATTTTTTCCTACCAGCTCTAAACTCTAACAACCCAATTTTAATTAGGAATTGGTGATGATTTTAACACATTTTGTACTTACATGACTTTCCATAAAACCAATATTTGCTTTCAGCTATTACCATTTCTTAAAATAAGATCCATGTGAGTGAGACCTACTTAATTATCCTAAGCTTCAAGTCATGCAACTTAATTCTGACATTCTAATACCTATTTTATAAAGTCATACCAATCATGATTCTAAAATTTAGTCAGGGACACATGGATGTCTCAGTTAGTTAAAGCCTGACTCTTGGTTTAGGCTGAGGTCATAGTCTCATGGTTTGTAAGTTTGAGACCTATAGCAGGCTCCTTACTGACGGTGCAGAGTCAGTAAGGATTGGGATTCTCTCTCTCCCTGTCTGTCTGTCCCTCCCATTTGCACTCTCTCTTTCTCTCTCTCTCGTTTTCTCAAAATAAATAAACTTAAAAAATAAATAAATTTAAAATTTAGTCAGGCTTTGCTCACAATATTTCAAGATGGAATAATCCAAATCACTGTGGTAAGGCATCATACAGCGGCCTCTTGTTTACTTCATAACATTTGAAGTTTTCACTCTTCATTGTGTAACTTTTTCTGAGAATTTTGGATCAAACACAGTAAAGAAAATTCTTTACTGTGCACTCAGCATTTACTTTGTTCAAAAACAACACAGTACCCATACAATCCTAATTCAGTAAGAAGTCAAACAATTGTTATATAGGAAGAAATAAAACATATAAATGAACATAAATAATAACCTGGTATCTAAGCTTTGTTGCTTTGTACTCACTGTAGTTGTGAGATTAACTTCTAATAAAACATTTCTGCCTTTGTGAAAAATGACCTTGAAAAGAAAACCATCTGCTAGTAAAACTCATGGCAAAACATGGTTATGATTACTAAAGTAATCCTTTAAGTTGGTATAGTCTACTTCTACTTTTTTAGTAGTTATATACCTAATCTTTTTTTTTTTTAATGTTTGTTTATTTTTCAGAGAGAAAAAGCGCACGTGTGTGTGAGCGGGGGAAAGGCAGAGAGAGAGGGAAACACAGAACTTGAAGCAGGTTCCAGGCTCTGAGCTGTCAGCACAGAGCCCGATAAGGGGCTCAGACTCAGGAACTGTGAGATCATGACCTGAACTGAAGTCGAGCACTCAACCAACTGAGCTACCTGGGTGCCCCATACATAATCTTATTTCTAACTTAGGTTATATTTATGGGTATACTTATTGCATTTGGTGAGGGTAATTATGATACTGTGGTATCCCAGTACCTAACCCAAAACAAATAGCATGAGAAACTTGTGTTTCAACGGTAGATAAACTATATTTTTGTACAAGGGTACAATATTTCCCATTGAGTTTGCAAAGCTTTCCTTAGAATACTGTGGATTCGATGGCAGATTTTTTTTCCCCTTCTTTTTGTTCACACCAAGATATTCAGATGATTGCCTTCAGGAAACAAGTCATAACTCCACAGTGATTCCCAAGTACCTTTCCTGATTCATAATGTAGATGCCATTAATCATGATACAAATATCTACCAGTTTTTCTTAAAGAGCATTACTTTACACTTACCAGAGCAAAACACAAACACTCTTTCTGGTCATTTATATAGCTTCAAAACGTCATCCTACCATATATATCTCCATCGTTCATTACACAGAAGCCCTTAATGTTGTCTTTACGTTTAGAAGAATACAGCTTAAATTATCTTTAGCTCTCTAATGAAATGTTAAATAATAAACTATGAAACCAAAACTACCTTTTCTGCCAACATTAAAAGGAAACCTGTAAGAATTTTTTATTTAAGCCAAGCAAAACTATAACTTATGAAAATTTATAAGTATTTTTGTCCAATATCAAAATATATTAACTTACTGCTTAATAGACTACATGTTGTAATACTTCAATCTTTACCATACCTCCTTCTTCAAGGAACAAAAGGCACGCAATTTAATGCTTGGACAAAGCCACAATCAGGAACAGTGATCAAAAGAAGAGACGATATCTGGAAATGAAGACCAAGAGTTTAAAACTGACTGCATAAACTGTTAGTAAAATGTTTTTTATGCTCTTGATTCAATCATGCTTCACATTCAACTTATGTGTTTAAATTTAAAAGGAACAAAAAAAAAAACCCTCTCTGCATTTAGGCAAATAACCCAACATTGCTACTTCATGATAACATCATAAATTTATAAAATTCAGAAAACTCAAAGCTTGGGAGCTTAGATGCAATCCAATTCAATTTGTTTATTACTAGATCAGGAAAATGAATCTTGCCCCAAATCACAATCTTAGAACAATCTAGCTCTAATTCTACCCCAGATATCCTACTACCACCCCAGATATCCTACATCTTAATACTCACTTGTGCTAATATCCCATGAAAATTGCTGACCATGTGAAGCCAATACCCCACAGAGAACTGAAACATTCATAGCCTACCCACTTGGGATCAGATGATTAATAACAACTTCAACTTTATTACAATTCTTTTCTTCTGCTTATAGTGCTTTATCACAAAAATTTTATTAGTAGAGTACCTGAAGGAACTGAGCAAAACTCAAGTCTTTTAACATAAATTTAAAAATAGGCTGTATTAAATGATCTAAAGCAAACAATGCTTCAGTAAGAACAATTCCAAACAGAAAACTAAACAATAAAAGTACTTTAAATGACATGTTGAAAGTCATGACATTTTAAAGTCAAATTGTATATTTATGCTAAAATACATCCTCTGGAATGCTTCAAGATATAAAAACTTGGGACCAGAGTATACTACTATGAAAGAACAGGATAGGATCTGAAGTGTGATAATAAAAAAATCTCAACCATTTCAAAGCTCATACTTTATCAATGTACATAGTAGGTAAATATTCATCATTGGTTCTTAATCCTTTTACCCTTCCATAAAACCAGACCTAAAATGTTTTGAATTGGTATTTATACTTACTTTCACTGCAAAAATAAGGAAAATTTTGGATGTGCAAAATAGGTTAGATACCTTTATTTTATTCCTCCTTTCCCTTTTGTTAACAATTTTCTAAACCTGGGGATCATCTTATTTATGAGAATTTTAACAAAAATCAACGGGGTCTACTATGCTTACCATCCTCATGAAATGCTAATGCCCTGAAAAATCTTAATACAATGCAATGCCTTTCTTCATGAATATCAGAAACATACAGTTTTGCTGAGAGATAATGAATCCATTTTCTATGGACCTGCAGTTAAAACTTTGAAAGACGTCAGGGTATTCCACTACATCAGCTTAAATGGTCTCTATCTCTTCAACTTGAGGATACTAATTTTAGAGTACACTCACATCAGATCCCTTGTTACATTAAAAAAAAAAAAAGCAAAAAAACAAAACAAAACAAAAAAAACCCACCACAGTAAACTAGGCCTGTCACACAGAGGCTCTAGTTAATGAAATTCCTACTCTGATGTACAGTTTGGTGTCTCGTTTCACCACTGCTGCAACCACACAAAGTTCAGGAATTCTTACGAATTTCTCAAATATTGACTTACTTTATTTTTATGGTGGCTTTTTTTTTTAGACTTTTGATATCCAAACATACTGAACTAATGTTTTCGCTAAAATAGCTCACATATACTAAACATCCCCAAATGTAAACCTAAAAAGAAACCTGAACCTAAACTTTTGTATTCTGAACCTTAAAGGTACATTTGTTTGGTTGATCTACTTAAGTTACAACATTTCACTTCATACACATTCACCCTACATATATTCCATTACCCATATCCATCTAGAAGAAGCTGTCTACTTGACAATGAGGACACCATGTTAAGAAGACTCAAAATGGACCCTACAAGTGAGAAAGCCAGTTACAAAGAAATCCATCTGCCACTGGGTGTGGTTGGGGTCTGCAAGGAAGGGCGCCTTTGGCCAACTCTGGAGGAGGGAGCGCGCGCCACAGAACGGTGGGTATCTGCAAGAAAAGACCTCCAATGACCACAAACTGGACCCACAATGGGGACGCCGTCGAGTCGGGCTGCCGTGGGCCTGCGAATCTACAGCTCGAGGGGTGCGGCCGCAGGACTGCCCATGCTGTCTCCACCAGCCCGGGAATGCGCCGAGTGGGTGCTTCGAGCGCCGCGCGCCCCGCTCCGTCCCAAACACCGCGCCCGATCCGCCCCTTCCTCCGGGGTTCGGCTCCCCTCGGGCGCGCGGAGGCACACTGTCGCCGCGCTCCCGCTCCCAAGCTGTGGGAGAGTGTGGAGTTCAAAGAGCCCGAACGTAGTGCAAACGCATCTAAGAAACAGGAGGTTAGCTCTAGCAGCCTGCAGGAGCGCCGAGTAAAAGAGCCCACTTCTCTAGAAAAACTTTGCGGCAAGTTAGGCGGAAGCGCTGAATAGCCGGGACTATTTAGCAGGCGCTTCCTATCACAAGAGGCGGATCCCTGAGCCGGTTCAGGGGACCCGAACACCCCCACAAACTCGCACTTTGCCCCCTGGCTGGCCATCTCGAAGTCCCGGCATCCTAACAAGTCTGGGCGGCCCCATTCATAGGGAATACCTGTCCTGGTCCCCATTGCCTGCGAGTCCCCGATGGCGGCCATTACGCTTCCATCCGGGTATTGCCGAAAAGCCGATCGCGGCGCTACCGGGAGCGCACGCTGCGGCGGAGGGATCCGCCAGGCAGTACCTGAGGCGAGCGGAAGAGGACGGAGGCCGGCAGGGTTCGCGCCTTAGCCTGGCGAGACTAGGCCATTGAGCTGGACTCGCCGCTGACCTCTCAAATTAGCGCGCTTCCCCGATGCCTGCCACGCCAGTGACTCACCCTCTCCTTGTGTTCTACAGCAGCTGCAGAGATCCTACTGCCAATGTTGTGGTAGACAAACCTCTACTCTATGCTCTTCAGAGTAGACACTAGAAGCAGGAACTGTGGTCTTGGCAAGCCCTTACTGACTGGGAATGGTCTCAACCCTGAGATTTTAATCATTTCCGGCTTTGCAAATGGCGTCTCCCCCTCGTTGCTTTTGACTCCTAGGTTTTAGCAGCCATTGCAGCCCACATCAATGAAGGGAGACACCCAAGACCCTCAGGAAGATATACTGAACTCCAAACGTGCACATATATAATAAATGATCTGAAAACTGTCATTGCAACAAGGGACCTTTCATTCCCATCAAAAGAATCCTTCCAAAACATCGCACAACTTAGTATTATGATTGGGATTCTCCCAAAGGCCAGAATGGCTCCCCTTGTCTCTTGTAGAGCATTTCTGAAAGCCAACCTATTAATTTCACATTTTACACTAAACTTATATGTATATATATGTATACATATATATAGCAAAAATTGTTAAGAAAGAAAGAGAAAGAAAGAGAAAGAAAAGATCCCGATTGGGGTGGAGGAATACATCAAAATATTAAAAATGAAACTGGAATCGAGTTGTTGTCTTCAGTTTTTTTATGGCTCCATATTTTCTTAGGAAGCATATGTGGTGTTTGTAATTGAAAAGAAATGTTAATGTTTATCATAAACATTTTATATTGTCTTAGAGTATGCTTTTGAAAATGTCAACCTGTAGCCAGTCACAAGATTTTCTGCATCCTTTAATAAAAAGCATACTGAGAAATCCTCCTTGTTCTTCAGGAACTTTCTTATCACTGTGTCTATTGGTCTGCATCATGGCCCCAGGAAAAGGCAAATGAGCAGTAATCCACTTTAGATGTACTTATATATCTTGTATTCATATGTCTGTATAAAATACACCAGGAGAAATCTTCTGTAAATACCAAAAGGGAGGCCATTATCAGATAAAGAACATGTTTACAAAATGGATTTCATTTTGCATTAAACATCATCCCCTTCTCTCTGGTCTTCATTTGCATGCAAGTCACACAGGCACATACATCACAGAGTAAAGAAAGGACTCATAATTTTTTATTTTTAATAGCAAAAGATGATAGCTGGGAATGTGACAGTTGTTTGTTTTGTGTTTTGATATAATTGTTGCTTTTTTGTTTTTCAAATTAAGAAATTGCACGCCTCTCCTCCTCCACTTTTGCATTATAACTTCATTTTTAATTATACATATATATTCACCTAAAAAAACATTGCAAACCTGTATATATGATATGGAAGAATTGGAATATGTGTGGGTTTTTTTTTTTTTAAGCAAGTAAGGTATTATTCAGCCACAAACTTCTCTCTTCCCCTTTTTCTTCCTCCATCCATATCATACAACCTCCACCCACTTTCTTGCCCCTTTTTGGATTTTGAGCACTGGGTTAGCACAGAAAAAAGGAGTAAAACAGAAAAGAAGGAAGATGTTAAAAGTGAGAGAGAAAATGCAATCATAGCTTAAGAAAATATTTTGTACTTGAGAAGGATAGTTATTGGGGATAGGGTACCTAGTTTAATGCTGTAAATTGTTGATTTCTCTGAACACCTGAATCTATTGTTTACTAGCTGAGGGCATTTAATCTCTGAGATTCACAGTATTATGAAATACATAACAGTTGGTAGATTGAAGAGAGAAATCAACTCAATGGCACCCATAGTACACATGGTAGAAGTGATGTTGGAGGTGATAGTCACAAAGTTTCCATCTTGATTACAAACCTCTTTCACATTTTCAATATATAAATAATGGCCATTGTGTCAGGAAGCAGATCACTGCAAGACAGCAAAATTTTCTTTTAAAAATAATGTGTAAGTGAGAATTACATTTCACTTTAAGGATTCACACCACTGAATCATAGGTAACACCATATCGTAATAAAATTACAACAAACTTACATCTATGTATATTTATATAAATATATACAGTATATTTACAAAAAGAGCATGCTTTTAGTCATAGATAGCTTGGTATGTCATAAGTATTATAGAATATTATATAAAGGATAGCTGTTACAATTGTAATTAAAGAATTAAGTGATATTTAAAGAATAAGAGTCTCTGAAAAAGGCTCTCTCCTTTTTGCTGATCTCTCAACTCAAGTCCAGACTCCCTACTTCCAATAATATAATCAAGTATAACCAGAATTGGAAAAGTAAAGATACCAAGAACCTGGTATCTAGCTTAAAATGGTCCCACTCTTTGGTCAAAAATTCCATACGTTGATTATTTTCTTCAAGACATCAAACAAATGTTAGTTGAGCATGAGCTTCAAGTATTATCCTTCCCAAAGTCCTCTGCATGGTTGTTATTTAATATTCATTCAGCAGATATGTTCTTGAACCCCTTACCATGTGTTAGAAACTGTGCTACTAATAAATTAGATGCGATCCCTCAAGGAATAACTCCTTCAATAGGAGACTCTTAATATCTAAAAGATTTAATGATTCAACAGAGCAATTCCAAAAATGGGATTTCGAATATAACAGGTGATGATCTTTTTAGGACAGGTATCCTGCCAGTTTCCTCTCAACTCATACTTCCTAGATGATTAAGACTTTCGATATGCTGCTATTTTTATTAAATTGTTAATAAAGATATAGTCACTCTTTCTTAGTTCTTTCAGTGGATACGATATTCACCAATGAATAACATTAAACTATATAAACTATACTGGCCTTCCCTAAATATTTTAGGGCATTTCTCCTTATCCCCAATCACATCAAATTCTTTCTAAGAATCCCTGTGTCCTGCGGGCAAGAGAACAGGTGGCACAGATAATTCAAATCCTTAATGGAATAAAAAGAGGAAATGTAATGCTTGTTAATTATCTTTCTTTTAAGAACAAATCTGGTATACATATATGTTATATATGCTATTTTGTATACACTTTCATATGTATAGTACATTTCACTATTTGTTGTTTTAAAAGAATAAAAAAGTATAAGGCTTTTTTTGGAGTGTGTATGTGTATGTGTGTGTGTGCATGCTGTTTGGGAGAGATTACTATGTAAATTAGCTTGATTGTTTTGGAAAGTTTTTTAAGGGTAGCTCTAATTTCTGTGAGACCTGTGACACTGGACCATGTTAATATCAATAAATTACACTTGAGAGCTTGTAAGAATAAATCATATGGCTCATTACTCTAAAATTTCCAAGTTTCCACCTGCAAAGTTTTCTTACTTCCCCCTTCAAACAAAAACAAAAATCCAGATTTTCTTGTTTTAAATAAAACATATTCCTTAATACTGCTACATATAGTGCCTCAGTGGTCCTGAATTTGTATTAATGTTGATGTTTATGTTTTGTTAATGTTGTTTGTTGGGTGAGTGGGAGGTCAGGGGATTTATAAATTCTTGCAGTATATCCTAAAATGCCTGATGGAGTAAACGAGAAACAATTATAAAGTGGAAAAGAACCAATAACTCATTTAAATTAGTTTTCCATGCCTTGTTCCTGTTGATATCAGGAACTCCAAGGCAATGAGGAAATCATGGAGAGCCAGGATACAGTAGGACTTAAGAGTATAATGCAGCAATAGGAAGAACATAACTTAAGAGAGAAGTACTAAATGCAAGGAAGAAGGAAAAGCTCTATTTGAAAACTTTATAGATATATATGAAAAGGTATCAGTTGGAAGTGGAAAACACAGAAGACAGCATGTGGATGAATATATAGGTACACAAAAACAGAGCCAGGATTGATATGAGAATAGATTCAGAATGCCTCTGACAGATGGAGGAGATAGATGATACTATCACAATATAAATTACTGAAGTGGCCCAGAGTTCAATAAATATTTCAGAATGTCTTCCTAGTGCCAGAGGATACAAATACCTGCCTCTGTCTTCAGGCATGAGGTTGAATAGATTTTTCCTCCCCCCAAAAAAGCCCTGATTTATACCTGTTTTCCCTAGCTCTTATTTTTTTGGTCAAAAATATCTCAATTTAGTGAAAATTGAATTAGCACTGTAATGATAAAAGAAAAATGATAGAAATCTTACCTGTTAAGAGCAAATCATCTCAGAAATGCCTTGCTGTTGCTCAGAGAAACTAAATAATTTTTTCATAGTAAGAAAGAAAGGCAGTAGCAAGAATTATTGTGGTGAACTGAAGGCTAATCAACAAAAAGGAAAACGTTGCTCATGATGTAATGGGCTGAGTGGGTTGGCAAGAGTGCTCGGCAGTGGCTTTGGGCATGTGGTCTCTCATCTCCAGGGTTCTTTCTTTCCTCTCACATCAATTCACATACCAAGGGACACATACTAATGGGCACACCTTAACTAGGGCTTGGTTTTCAATCTGACCCAAATTCACATCACCTGAGAGAGGAACACAAGCTCCCAAGACTCATAAGAAAAATTAACAGAAAGAAAGGTATCAAACCAAATAACATATATCATCTGAAAAAGAATAATTAAAGCAGATTCAACTTTAAAATAAACATGGTAACTATATTTAGACTTACGAGGGA